CACACACACACACACACACACACACACACAGACTCGCGCGCTCATATGACCTTAGCAGTTGCGAGCGCCGTAAAACCCTATACTACATACATACACACACAGACACACTCGCAAACACACACAAAGTACGCGGATTAGAATCACAAGTCTATATTACATTTAGGATAGAAGAAATACGAGTAAGCAACCATTTTGACACAAAACGACAGAAGTGAAATAAGACGATAAAACACAAACACCTTTTATTTTGAAGGCCGCAGTCGAATTGAAATTAAATTGAATTCAGTCGACGTATTGCGCCAAAATGTTAGAACTAGAACTACCTTTTTCTTTGGTTTTGGCGCATCTGGGAAGGGAAAAAAATCTGGTTTACCCTGTCTCCTGTCTCAGTCCAGTGACTCTACTGAATACTGAATTCCACTGGCAGTGTGTGCACAGTGCACATTCAATAATAATATGGTTGCATTGAAGGACAAGCTGGCTAACCCAGATTTCAGGGGTTTACCTGGAATCTTGACCTACATCAAAAGTGGGCATTGCCCTACCTAAAAGAAAAGTTTGGTTTCATTGGTGTGTATATTTGTTTGATCATGGAGAAAACTCTCCTTGTCTTCTGAAGAAACTGAACAAGGGGCAAAAGCTTTACCTTCGATTTTCTCCAAACAGCATTTTTCGGGATAGCCCCCTTGTACTTTAAAGCGACCATATAATCATAACCAATGATGTTTTGTCAAGGACGTAAATTATAAGTATTCCAAGGTCACCAGGTTCTGCACTTCGCTCCACTATGCAGTCAACCGTGACAGTTGACTTCCAGATCTCTCCACGGTCTTATAATTGCAACCCTTTGCTGGGGTCGTACAGTTACTGAGTTAAACCCTCAGGCTTCAGTTTGCTTTTTTCTACCGATTTATTGATTATTGGTTCCCAGCTTACTTATCAATGGTAGATCTATTTGGTACATGTACTATATTATTAGGTTTGTTCTTCTTGTTCTTGTTTTTGTATTCCTATTCTTGCTTTTCTTTTCTCTCTCTCTCTCTCTCTC